AATTAGTGTTATTATATAATTATATAATTGTAAATATATAATTGTATTATATAATTAGTTACATATACAGCAATAGTTTTATACCTTTTCTCTTGTAAATGGTTATTTACAACAGTTCACAACATTTCAAATTTAATATTTTTTTTTTCATTTTGTAATTCCATCTTACAACAGCAATAGAGACATTGTTATATTGTACCCTATAGTATTACTTATTATAGAAAACATATATAGGGTGTTCATTTAAAAACTTTAGATCGAAATATCTCGAAAACAAGACAATTCTGAGAAAAATGTTAAATATAAAAATTATTTTTTTACAGCTGTTTATTTTACGCGAAAAAAAGGATGAACTTTTGTTTTTAACATTTCTTAATCAGATTTTGTAGTATAAGGATATTTAATACAATGAAAAATTTGTTTATTTATTAAACTTCTTAATTCTTTTTATGATTGAATGTTAATAAATCAATAACAATTGCATTTCTTTTCAGTTGGCTTTATACTTGGCTTTATACTACATAAAAATTTGCACGTTTCATGTTTTGGAGATGTAAACGACTAGCGTGTAAATAGTGTTGTTTTAGAAATATTTAGATTTAAAGTTTTCCGAAGAGTTAGTTCCTAACTTCTTGGGTCTCTCGTCTTTCCATACGCAGCTTATTAACGACACATTCTTCTTCTTTATATTTTCTTACAATGTATTGTATTGTGGAATGTGATTTCCAAACCATGCTTGCAATTTCCCTTAAGGATTTTTATTTTCTAAATAAATTAATAATAATTTCCTGCTCTTCAATAGTCGTTTCTCTTCGTTTTTGATTGCGACTCATATTTGCGAACTAATTTTATGATTGAACTTATTGAACTCGTTGCTAACAGATTACTAAGGCATTCCGCAGTTAATATTCAGTATTCCGACGTTTCAGTTTGTCATTTGTCTCAATAAATAGAGCATTTACGCATCTTGTCCCACAAATATACGAAGACTTTTGCCTTATTTGTGCCATATAATAAATATGCTCTATTCACTTAAAGAGAAAAGATTCGTGTTTATTTACTCCTAGACTGTTTTGAAGACTAAACATTGTTCTTTAATTATGTGTAAACACATTCTGAAAAAAACGTTACGTAAATACTAATAAAGTTGAATTGAACAAATTTTATCCTGGTGTACGAACACTTTTACGGACAACTGTATGTGTGTGTGCCTAGCAGCTACATTGTATGTCCCGTGTGCTCGTACTTCTTGTTGTGTATAACAGGCTATCGAAGTGTAAACACGTGTCTATAAAGGATATATTATAATAAGCAAGCAAGGTACGTATTTGACAACGCGGATAGATTATTTAACCAATCCTCCAACAATAATCTTCTAGAAATTGAAATTTGAAAAGAGAGAGGGTTATGATATCGGTTTCGGTTCTTGAAACAGTCACATACGAAGAACCGAAATGTTCTCGTAACTGTTATTAGGTTCTGGTTTATATCGGTTTCGGTTCCTTGGAATCGTTAGTATATCAGTTCTATAATTGTTATTTTTCGGTTATGGATTTCGTTTCTAATTTTATTTCACGCAATAAATACATTATATTTCCTTTGGGGATTCAATGTATGAATTCTGAAATACTTTATATTATTGGCAAATTGTGCGACTGCGGCCAATGTATTGTTTTGTCTATCGCACAGAAATTTAAGGCAGTACAATCTCTTATGTTACATTGAATTTTTCCAATACGTTCACATATATCCGAAAACCAGAACCGAAAAATAATAGTTATAGAACCGATATAATATCGGTTCAAAAACCGAAAGATACCTCTCGAAATACCTCATAACTATTATGAAACTTTTTCGGTTCTCCATAACTGTTCAAGTCAGAACCAAAATATAACAGTTTGAAACAGTTATTTTTGGATTTAATTTCAAATTGAATTCAATTCCTTTTCAATTCCTGTAAGATAAGTTATTTGTTTGAAATTTGAGCAGAAAAATCTTGATAGAAAAATCATGATTTAATGTGAAACATGTTATTCGTGGCAAACTAATTGTGAGCTTTATTCAAGATCAGACGAAAAATGCGTGAACGAAAACTAATGCGTAACCTAAAACATCTACATTTCTTAACCAAAGTTTATTATCCTCAAAAAATATGTGTTTTAAAGTGTTGTTCTTATATACAAACTGATGAATGCGTTAAACAGTTCAATACAATTGATTGATTTGTTTAATTTCTGATTTTATATTCAGTTTTTAAAAAATACTTTAAGATTATTTTAAAATTTGACGTGTTGGAATTATAAACGGATGTACTTGCCGAAGTTAGGTGCGTTGGCCGATCTGCACGGCCGTAAAACGTGTTAAAAAGGGCGATATTTTAAGCAACTTTTTCCTTTGCACCAAGAACAGGACTATTTTAGTTTTTAAGATATTTGCATAAAACTGTTACT